GGTCGAACATATTCAATTAGCAGGCAGCCACAGTATCTGTATTTCAATGGACTGCTTCAAGGATGGCAAGTGCACTGTTTTCACGCATTTCACGTGTAAATAGAGCCTGCAATTTTACTGCGAGCTGCGAGTACTTATATAAGGCAGCAACAACATAAGTACGCAAGGTAGACAAACAGACAGGAGGACAGACAGACAGCCAGTCAGGTAGGCAGCCAGCTGGGATGCACTATAAATAAATAAGATAAAGCGTACTTGAGTGTGCATCTTGCTCTCTGCCTGTGTGTGAAGCAGCGAACCAAGCAAAAGCATACAGCACCAGTAGCGGTACCAACTACAAAACGAGAACCAAGTCGAGCATCCACAATCCAACGACGTGCACCGACGTACATGAAATAAACATTTTTTTTCCACCCGCAAAATAAAATGGAAAATACTTCCGTGTGGCACAAGTCGCTGCGCCAACTGCAACTTGAATCAGAATCAGTTTCTCATGTTGGCTGTCGTCCGCACCGCTTGGTTGGCGCACCTACCTCACCTTCTCATCAAGCCTTCTGAACGGTGCACTCCGCTGCTCATAATTCAGGAAGTGTGCTGCACTCTTTGTCAGGCAACTTGCATTTTATAACAAGCTGAAAAAGCTTTCCGCCACATTGAACCTCCCCCACCACACACACAAAGTTTGGTCTCCGAGTGTCCACAGTGGCAGCTTAATAAATGTCAAAAACTAGCAAGCGAGCACAAAAAAGAAAAAAATGTGGAGAGTTTACTGTACAGGCAGGCAACTGGGTCCAAGTGTCTCACAAGAGCTGTAATTTAATTTCAGAGACTTGGCGAAATTAAATAAAATACTTTGCATTATTTACTAAAATGATTATTTTAATATAAACATCATTAAAATTGTGCATTTAACAAAAACAAATGCAAATGTAAACAAAAATAATAAATGGTAATATGTTGACTACAGATACTCTATATATTGGAATGTATAAATCAAATTAATAATTTATATATAAAGGAAATGAATAAAAATATATGCTGTGTGTAATACTTTTACCTACAATTAGGTCAGCGTGAAATATATATACCTGAAAGTATCTGGATATAGGGTATATATATGCACACACACACACAAGAAAAACAATGCAAAAAGCAAATTTACTGAAGCGTTGCCGGGTTTTAATGAGCGCGTAAATAGCGCTCGTTAAAAAAGGAAAAAAAAATGGCAAAAATATTATTAATGCGTACATTTTAATAATTAATGACACAGAAATCAGACAGATTCAATGTGGTCAAATTTGATGTCACGCTAGCAAATTATTACTGATTAATTAAAATCTGTTCACGGCTTTAAAAATTATAAAAATGCATGCTTCACAATGAATGAAAAATGCCTAATTAAAATAAAACAATATATATATACTGTAAATTTATATTGTGGTTACTTTGAAAAATTAATTTGCCATTTACTTGTTTTGACCAGCTTGTCCCAAAGCAAGTACCACAAAAATACATTTTAAATGTTTTACGCTATTGATCGCTACAAGTGAAAAAAAAAAAATTAAATTAACACCTTTCTCCACAATTAAATTTAGTTGATTTTAATTTTTTTTCCTCGCGTGCAGCTCATTAAACAATTTGCTTCGATTGATTCGATTATTTATATCTTTAATTGCTTACTAACTAATATTTATTGCGTTGCGATAAAATGTTCGTTTTTACTTCAGCAAATCCATTTGGCTAATTGACTTTTACGGGAATAAATTATTGCGAAAGGGATGAATTTATGAATTTAATTTCTGCCTGATATTAATTATATAGTATTCATATCACTTTTGGCCTTGAGCTCGTTTCGTTGCTACCTAGAATTTGGTTTTATACTCTGAAAAGTCACAACGTAAAATCAAAGAAATCTCTCTACTAACTTGCATTTGCTGCAGGCAAGGTTTTTTATTGCTGGATTATAGAGAGACTTTAAAAACAAAACAAAACAAAACAGAAAACAAGAAAACAACAAATTTAATCAAAAGTGTACTGCGAAATGTTATGCAAGCAATTTCATCAGGAATTCTTTTTCATTCTTTCAAATATTACAAATAGATTTCAATCTATATATATATATATATATACATATATATACATTTATCAGTTACAGTTACTGTAAGAGAAACAAGCTGCCATTTGGCAAGGAATTGTATTTTTATATATTAGGGGCCGCTGCAAAAAGTTTGCCAAAAAGTTCATTTCATTCGGACTTGTTAAGAACCAACATATTTTTGTGCTGTTATCTGAAATAAAAATAAATTTCAGAAATGAAAGAACCAAGAAGAGAACAATATTGGCAGGTAAATTCCATGATGGACTGAAACTGAAACATTTACATAGATGCTTCGATTTGGGTTTTGCATATTTCCTCCTACCTTCTTTTTATGCGGAGATTCGACAATGGGTCCATTGAAATTTGCATGGAAATTTGTTATTTGTGGTTGGTGGCCAAAGCAAATGCAAATAGTCAATATCAGAGACCATGCAAATCTCAGTTATCTGCTAGACGCTGCCAACTGTCAGCGGACATTTACGCATAACGCATACACAACGTTTGACCAAACATAATCACACGATGTCAGCACAGTTGTTGTTGGCATATTTTTCGCTGTATTTAGCAGCTTAGCAAGCCATATTAATTAACTTTTATGAGAAAGCATCCACATCCACACCCACGCACACACGCACACACACAGACACATAACCACACATACTACCGCTACTGTTGCTGCTGCTGCTGCTGTCGCTGCTGTGCCTTGGCGGCGTATGTGTAATATTCCATTTAGGGCCTTGGCAACATAACATGACCCTCTTTTATCTGAGCTCCTTTGGGAAGCTAAGAGATTTATTGCCTGCTACAAAGATAAAGTCATTATTATGGCATTATAAAAGATGGCAAGCGACCTCCTGCAGCGCTTAACGATATGAATCTTTGATGCATGTAATTGTCCTCTCTCGACCCTCATATGGGGTCTTATCATTGATTCTACGCCTGCTGTTCTCTCGCTTACGTAATTATGTTAATTTTGTTGGTGTTACTTTATCGCTTGTCTTGCGTTAATTAAAATTTCATTAGTCCCCCGCAGCATAAAACGGGCGCATTTCGACAGTCATCAGCTGTCAGAATCTACTTGCAACTGTCTCCACTGATATGTATATATTTCTATCTACATGTATGTATGACAAATACATTGAACATTAATTATGCATACAGTAGGAAATTGACAGCTGCTACGCCCACCAAAGGCATCCAGCCAACTTTAAGTAAATGTAGTAACCTAAAATAAAATCAATAGTTTTAGTTGTTGTTCGACTTGTGGGCAAACGTGCAAGGTGATAGCGAAACTTGATCATCCCAACTGCTAGTCAGCAAATATTTGACCTAAAATGCTTAGTCCATTGCACTTGCCCTTTGCTCTCTGCACAGCGTTCGTAGCGCCCATTTTGGCAGGCATTCAAAGTGCCAGCCCAGTGGAACTGGCGAAGAAATCATGCAAACCATAAAAAGTCAGGGCCGCTGCATGGCGCCTACGCAACGCGCCAAAATGGCCGACAAAATGGCGTCGGTGACAAAGTCAGCATAGCATTTTGGCATTTGACAATTGGCAAGTTGAAGGTGTGCTTTAAGGCCGCTTGACAAGGCTTTAAGGAGATTAACAGCTGCAACTGGCAACTGACATGCGATTGCTTGCTCACAGAGGGGGTATAAGCTCAATTTAATTGACCGACTTTAAAGTCCTTAGGCGGCTTGGATTGTTATACTATAAATCTTTAACATTTATATTATTGTTTTGCAAAAGAGTCAGCGGGAAAGGAACATTTTTAACAACAATAGTATATTAGATATCTATCTATATCAAACAGTATTTAAAGAAGTTATTGCTGCTGAAAAGATTGAAAACGTTTTTTTCAGTGTGTGCAGTCTTCGTTGAATTTTGATTTGCAGACTTTTTGCCTTCAGTTGATTGAATTTCCTGACTGCAATATGTTGCATATACTACACATATATGTTGCCAGTTCGTGGCATAAAGTTTATTGAAATCGATCGACTTCCACTTGGACTTTTTCACGATTTGCAGTTGATACTTGTGCATACATGTAAAATGCGACAGGGAATGCCTGAGATTTATGTTAATTTATTGAATTTTCATTTGATTCATTCTCCTCTCTCTCTCTCTCTGTCTCCGTCTCTGTCTCTGCGTGAGTGTGCTGAAATCTTGCGAATGCGAGAGTAAATTCAATCAAGCTTATGCATAAATTACCATCCAGGTCGCTGTAAAAAGGTAGATTTCCAGAAATGTTCATCATAATAACAAAAGCAACAATAGCTACAACAATAACAACAACAACAGCAAGTTGTTCTCTCTGTTTCTTCATTCACTTTATCTTTGTAATGGCAAAAGTTTCGAGTTGAAGCTCTGGCCCTTTTATTTTGTATTTTTTATATACGTTATATACATAGGTTTATAACGGGAGTGGTCACCCCAGGGCAATCTTGGCAAAGCTGGGCAAGCAGAGAGTCGCTCGTTAAAGCGGACTTTCAAAGGGACCGACGCTTGTTATTCATTATGTAATTGAGGTGCGTGCAGGTTAAACAACCAGCCAACGTGCAGCAACTCTTTGTGGCTGTCATTTGAATAATTTACATGCTAATTTAATTATTGTTCAATTTGCACAGTTTATTGTAGCTCAACTCGAATGTGCCCACAATGCCCAATGTCGAATTTATAATGTGCTTCTTTGCCGCAGAAAGTATATTTTAATTTGTCATTAAATGTGAAGCTGATATTTGTTGGAAAAAGGTTTTTGATTTTTTTTTTTTTGTTAAGTTATATTTAGAGTGGACTTCAATAAAATGAGGGCGCAATCAGCTGAAGCGTTTGATATTTTTAAGCATTTGCTTCATATCAAGCAACATATCTCCCTTTTGTTTTAAGTGTTAAGTTGGACGTGCTTTAGTCCAAGTTCTGTTTGAGATAATTTTCATAGCGCCTTAAATCCATTTGCTTCATAAAGTCAACGATGGTGGTGCAGAGCACCACATGCAGTATCATTTTGTATCCTGTGACAATGCCAGCTATTTGAACCACATCCACATCCGATTTTGGTTTCCAAGCCATAAAATTGATAGAACGAGGACGAAAGTCAACCATAGACATTCGTGTGCTAAGCTGTAATTAGAAGACAGAAATCTATAAAATAAGATAATACAACAAAATTAGAAACCCACCAGAAAGCTTACGATGTCCTTTTTGACTGCTTTCTTTGTGCGTGGAAAATCTATTTTCCAGATTCCATTCATCAGTTTCTTATATTCTCGCTGTTGCACATAGGCGGCACAGATCAGTGGGAATAACATGCAAACTGGCCACATCAGATCCAATGCAGCCGTTCTCAGCTGCTGGTCCCGAGTTGGTGGTGCTTCAATATTCACCCAATCGGCTTCATCCTCGATATCATTCAGACTCTTTTTGTTCTGGTTCAGGGTTGTATCGTCGTATCTAAAGTTGTTGACAAGGACGCCACCTCTGAGACATAGTAGAAAGTAGAACCAACAAAAGGTTGCACTGAAGTAATACGCAGCCACATGTTGCATTCTCTTCAACGACGGTTGCACATACAACAGTTGACGCAGAAGCTTTAGATCCTTGGGTATGTGTAGTTGTTGTACTAATAGATTCAGTGATTGTAGAAGCGCTGTATGCAACAGGTGATAGAAAACATGTAGGCTGAGATGCAGAGCAAAAATTAGATGCACTACACCAATTATGTGGCTTGTAATGTAATTAAATTCAGCAAAGTCTATCTGTGCCCATTTCCTGAATAGTTTCCAGCTTAGAAAAATTATCAATAGTATCTGCACAACTGCCAGAATATATACAGGCCACGAACATTTGAGCACTAAACGCTTACGCAGTAATGAAGTCAAATGCTTATATATGAATTGAGCCTCTTGGACCAGATACCAAAGCTGAATTTTGATCCACATGCATCTGACAATCATATACATATAGGCCACTATATGGCAGCACGGGATGATGAAAGTTAAATTTGAGTAATCGGTTATAAAATCCGGATTTAAGTTCTCATCAATGGAATATTTGCGACTGACGTTCGCCAATACGAAAAAAAAATACCCAAAATTGATCACAATTAGCATAAAGCCAGGCAAATACTCCAAAAAATAACAGAAATTCATTTTCAGTTGATAGAGCCGCGTGAATCTGTTGAAGTTTATTTTCAAGAAACCCACATATTTCATAATATAGCACAGGAACTTGAACACCTTATAGAGCAACCAAAAGCGCAACATGTTGATAATCAACTGAATTGGAATTGTAACAATTTCTTTCAATTTACGACATCCAGTTGATAAATATTATTTAATTATCGTTCAAGGCTTACTCTAATTCATCATACGCATACCAGCGATAGACCTCGCTAATTGCTTGGGTCATATTAATATCGAAATTGCCTTTCGTATAACCGGTATAAAAATTAATTTGCATTTGTGGATGTTGCAGCAAATACACACATAGTGAAAGGAACGCTACGCCACCCACTCTGATGATGATGTTAAGGAGCATGGGCAGTGTCAGTTGTAGTTGAAGAGAGTTCAGATCCAGGATGGCCATTGGCAAGGACCTCGGGCGTAGCTGTGTGACCGGCAAGTTGCTTGTAAGCTGTGGGAAACATTTCATTAGCCACTGGGCAATCGACAGCCACAACAATAGCAACAAACACCAAATGAGAAACGGAACTCACCAACATGCTGATGATATCCCGTTTGTGCAGCGGTTTGGCAAAGCGACGCAAAATGGGCAGGCCGAAGGGCATGGGCAGTGTCTGTTTGCGCAACAGGCTCCAGGACTTCAACTTGAAGTAATTGTGTCGATCCTCCAGCTGTAGATAATAGCCATAGAAATGCCAACGTTGTAACTGGAGATCATATGCACAAATTAGCAGCGTGATAAACGTCATAAGTAGCAACATCAAATGCACCAGTTGCATTCGATCGAGGCTCAGTTCCGAGTTGTTGGAGAAGGGTTGCCAATCCGCTAATAGCTGACTGCAGCGCAACACAATAAATCCCATAAGGCTGATCAGATGCAGCGCAAAGTAACGAATGATATGCCAATGCACACTCCAAATATTCACTTGCTCCTGCAGTATTGTGCGTAGGATGCCCAACCGGGTGCTCGACATGTGCTGCTGCAGGAATGCGTTCAGCGCCCGGAAAATGCTCGCCAGCCATATCAGATAGTTGCCCAGGAAGAGCAGCTGCATGTGATAGATGAGCGCGACGCCAGCGATGAAACATGCCTGGTAGCTATAATACATGCGGCACTGCCACATAAACAGTAGGCAGAGCTGGAATGGCAGCAGGAGCGTCAGAACGCACTCTCTCCACAATGGCACACACAGCCTGTCGCCGAGCATGTCCTGCAGTCTGCCATTTATGCCGGCACAGGTATTCAGTAGCTTGGTCAGATGCCTTCGCAGTCTCAAAAAGTAAATGTAGAGCGGCACGTAGAGCAAGAAAAGCAGCTGATCGTAGACCCAACGCTGACTGACCCACAGATAGGCAACGGATACAATCATGTTGATCACGCACATTACCTGCACGTAGAGCTGCTCGTCCCAGACAAATTTCGAGTCCTGTGCATAGCCCACATTGTAATAGCCCAGATAGATGCCCAGTCTTCCCGTTACTCGCCACACGCACCGCAAGTGGCACAGACAAAATCCTTTGGTCGTTGTATGCCTTCGCATCGCTGCCAGCTGCTTGCAACACTAAAAAAAAAAGAAGAGAAACGGCCACACACACAAAATTTGTTGTGGCATGTTAATTAGCTTTTCGATTGAGTGATAAGTGAGTCGAAGCGAGAGCATGCGTGACTCAAAGGACACTTAAATAATAACGACAAGCAATATTTCATGCTCTGTTTATTTTGCGGTGGAGTGGACTTTAATAGTTTATAGTCTGATGTGGGACTGAGAAATTGAGAGATTGAGAGAGCACTTAAAATAGCATAAAGCATATGAAATAAAATGAATGAAATGATTTTCATTACGTCGAAATTGAGATACTCTTATTAATGAAATAATGTGGTTAAACGTTGAATTTCTTCAAGAATTAGAAGCTGGCATTAAATATTCTTTGCCATACATAATTAAGAAGCCATTATATCGAAGTATATATTAAATAATAAAGAAAGATGCATGGTATCGCTTAAAATACCCACTGTACAAATTACACTAATAAAATAATATAAAAAAGCAATATTTTTTCTCAAACTCTGTACATTTAAAGTTTAAGTTTAAGGAATTGAACAGACAGACAGATAGTTGATATGCCACGTTATGTTCTGTCATGTTATATTCTCTAAGTGTATTACTCAAAGTTCACTCAATAAACTGCAAACGCTGCTCCACTTCAAAGCTTCCTCCCTGTCCATAATGGCTTTTATCCACATGCATGCAACTGCGTGGCACCCACGATACAAACACACACACACTCACACATATAAATATGTGTCTTCTATGCGACATGTACGCACGTCCACAGTTGCATATAACGATGACAAAAAACTGCATGTTTTTATTACAAATTGCAATTGTAAAAATTTTATACATGGCCGCGGCCACATTGCCATCGTCGCATAGTGTCACATTCCAGATCATGCAGCACCTGGAACAAACCAAACCAAAAAAAAAATAATAATAATAATAATAATAATCCGAATACCGACAGCAAAAAAAAAGTGTATTGTTGGGCGTGGTAGATGCCACCGTCCGTGAGAGTGTCGCCACAAAAAAACTTCCGCACAAAAATTGGGCTGCATTTCCGGTAGCTCGCTTGAAAGTTTTTCTTTCCACTTTATTTTTTGCGAGCTATGCATAAAGCAAATGAATTTATTTTTTACACATCTTAAATTTTCTTTTTCAATATAAACGTTCCGACAGCGCTTACAGTGAAAGGTTTTATATAACACAATTTTTATGTTTGTTTGCCGTTTTCAGCTGCCATAAATTTTTGCATGTTTTCATTAGTTGTCAGCCTTGCTTTTGATGATTTATGCATGTTTTTGATGCTGTCCATTGCACACATACACAACCATACATACACAAAGCAGCTCGGAGGCAAGTAAAAACAACAAACTTATTAAAAATTTAGTTAGTAACGCAAAGTTTTTAAGCTAATGAAAATGGCTGCATCTGCCAGAATGTTGCCACAGGCTGATCTTGCAAAATTTAGCATCGCAATATTGCATTAACTTAGTATTATTATATATATAAATGTAACAATATTGGTTTTTAAGTATGTCTGCATATTTTATTTTGTTTAGCTTTCCTTCTTTATGTGTAATAAACATGATAATAAATGTGTTAATTATGTACAAAATTTATTTATAGTTTTTTATAATACATTCAATCTACTTTATTATTATGACCATTTTGGCCCCATCTCAAATATCTCAAGCCATTTTCACATATTCGTGTAGGCAGGCAACAAAATAATGTTGTAGAATTCCGAGTTTCCACAGTGTTCTAGCCAACTATCTCACTCCTTCCCTGTCTGTCCTCCTCTCTTAGCCATCCCGGGTAGATACAGCTTGCCGAGCTACTAACGATGTGGCTGATGGTAATGCTGATATGTACTACGTTTTGAGGACGTTATTCCTTCTGCTTCAACTTGTACTTTTGCAGCTGTCTCTGCCACTGCTTCTAGCGTTGGAGGCTCTAATGATTGTTTGTCAAACATGGAGGGTATGCCGGCTTCCTGGTTGGTCCTTGCTGAGTCCCCTAGCTACTGCTATGTGGGACGAGATGCCTGTGGCCTCTTATTGAATTCCAGCGGCGGTGACTGGCTGGTTCTTTTGTTGCACGACATGCACAGGATTTTAAAATGCCACATGAAAGAGTACTGGACGATGCGACATGAATTCCAAGTTGAAGTGACAAAGCAAAAGCGGAGAAAGCAGCAGGAGCATCAGCAGCAAAAAGTTAAGATGTGAAAGCGAGTGAGCCGCTTAAGCTTGACAGTTTTGGGTTACGCTGCGATGAACCAATGAACATACCAAAATACTCACGCGCCTGGGCATGCAAATCCTCTAATGGCCGTGGATATGGATTGAGACTTAAGCAAATTAATCGCCAATCGCTCTTACGCTATGCTCCTCCCTGCATAGAAAGCAAACTTTGACCTGCAAAATTCCCAGTTCGGAAATAAATTAGTTTGCTGGGTGTGTGGCGGAGACGCAAATCTGAAGTGGGTCTGACAGCAGTTCCACCATGGGAAACGCGGGAGGGTGTGTGTGGAGAGCATAGGTACAGAGAGACTGAAATAAAAGGGTGGTGGCCAAAAAATTTCGTTGGTCAGGACATTAGAAAATGTTAAATATTTAAGTGAACGAACTTATCGATTTTGGTGGTCAGTGGTGGCATGGTGGTGTAAAATGCACGTGTTCAAATGGCGTTAATTGAAGTGGCTGCTTGCCATCCTCAATGTGTGCAGCCATCAATTACCCTCACTTCACAAATACTTTTCCAGCTTTGCCACGCTAAAAGCATTTACACAGTCCGTCATCACATTAGCGCCAAAGCACCCACCCAAATTGTTATTGTTTTTATGCCCTTACCAAAAGTGTACTTGAACACTTGTAATAATTACTAGAGCAGTGCCAACTTTGTGTGACATTTTGGTTGAATACTACTCTAAAATTCTATATTTTATGCAATGTTCACTAACTGAAGTTCACTAACTCAAGTTTTGTACATTTTCATTTGCTTACAAGCTTAAACTCTTTTTGAAATTTCTTATTCTGTTCCTACTTGTCCGGGTTCTTAAATTCAACCATTTCGCTCGCTTCTCATTTTAAGCAGATGTACACTTATTTAAATGTTTAGGTACGACAAGGACTCGCACACTTAATAAGCCAATAAGTAGCTATATATATTAAAGAGTATTTAAAATATCACTAAAGCTAAATAGTTTATATTTCTAGTAGCTCTAAAGTTGAGCTTAAGCCTCGTGAATCGCTGTATAGCTGACATGTCACATCATCCACCACTTTGTTTGTGCCACCGACTCGGTTACTTTGGGGCACTGAATGTTGTATGTGATCTGTTTGGTCTGTGCAACATATACTACAATGAAGCAATGAAAAGATTTAAACTGGCGCAGTAAACACTTATCTACTGGATTGTTGGCTCCAACATAGTCGCATGGATGGCTGTGGCTAACAAAGCTGGCACTGATTGCTGGATTGATAGCTGCACCCACTTTATCTACATCCTGCCGCGCATTGTTTACACGTATTTGATAGAAATCCTCAATGAGATTGTTAGCGTGCAACGGCATTTGGAATGTTGGCTCCGCGTGCCGGTGGTACTCATATTCGCACAGCTTGGTTGGATCATCTGGAGGCAGCTACAGCTTTACGATTACCTAAAGCTGTTCTCCGTGGCATTTTCTGTAGTCTGCTGTTATCTGCAGCTGCCACTGCACGTCAATTGCTTTATTTAGCTGTACTGCATCTATGTGGCCATAAATCGCCTGGCCCCTACCCCCCTTTCAAATGCTGCCTGTGGTGCCAAAAAAAATACAAAAAAATTCAACATTACTCACTATTCCAGCGTTTTGCCTCTAACACTCTTTGCGCTCATGTTGCTGTTGTCTCACTGGTGAGTATATAATATAGATATGCTCTGATATGCGATTTTCTCATGTCAATTTCTTAAAGCCAAGACTTTTTAAAAATTCTTTTCAACTAAATTTTTGGAATATTGAAAAATGTTCAGTGCCACAGAAATAGGTAATACGAGCATGTTTCGTTCGAATTCAAGAGCAGGCAATATATTGATTATTTTATGACATTAAATGTTTGCAACAAATCAATAGCTGCCAACCAGTGGTTGAAAATTAAAATTTTGCTATGCAAAGCACGTTCACCACTCTTTCTCTCGCTCGAAAAAGGATTGCAGAGCAAATAAATCAGAAGGGACGCAAAAAATACCCAAATAAATCAAACATCCAAACTCATATACATACATAACTGAATATATATATAAATAAATGTATACGTAAGTTATGTGGGGCTGATAGAAGTCTATTAAATCTCTTGAGCTCTAAGAGCTGCCAACCTAATTAGCTGCTGCTGTCCCATAGGCCATAGCGGTGTAACGTGGCGTATGATTAACACGACTAATGAACGCCTTTTTCGCTCAGCTGTAAATAATTGAATTAAAACTCATTCGGTCCCAACTAGGCATAATCAATTCAATTATGCCATTGCCACGCCTCCTCACCTCCACCGGAAATAAAAAAGCTCAGTTCAGTTCATTGCGCATGAGAAAAAACTATTTGCATGCCATAGTTTTCATCTTTCAGCTGCATTACAATTTTTTTCTTGCAAAAAGTGCAGTTGAGTGGAAAATATTTTCGATTAACTGTGTTAAGGGGTGCGTTTACTGACTCTTCCATCAGTATTGTTTGCAGGTGTGTGGGTGCATTTGTGTGTGTTTGTGTGACAGCTTTTTTGCTTATTGTCGCATCTGTAATGAGCTCGAAATAATTTCATACTGTGAACCAAATGCAAAGCTTCGAAAAAGCATTTAACATTTAACAAGTAACTCCACACATGTTGCTGCATTCATTTTTCAGCACAATGTCTGCCATATATGCATGTGAATCTGGAGTGTTTCTATTGCTGCTGCTGAGTGTGAAGTGTGGAGAGTTTTCGTATTGCAAATTGTGCAAAATGCAAATTTCCTCACTGATGACAGCCGCAATTTTGTGCGCCATTGTTGTTAGACACGTTGTTTTTGCTGTTGTTGTTATTGTTTCTGCTCGTCCTGTTGTTTGTATACATCCATTGTTTGGGCTTAGATGTATGCACATCCAGTATACAATTCGGTTCACTTAAATATTATTAAAAATCATTTATTACTTGGTGGTCACATTATTACACGATGGCCACAATGCTAAGCAAATTATGAAATATAGATATTTTATGTTACGAGGAAAATAGCTCACGATCATTCGAGTTTCTTTGTTGGCATCCAGTGCCAATGCAGCGTTGAAAATAGAGATGTATCGCATAAATAAAAAATTTTAAAGTGCATCTATGGAATTGTCAAGCACTGTTTGCCCAGTTGCAGAACATCTAGCACGTAATAATAAACATTGAAGCACAACAGAGCAGAAGCCGAGCTAAACAGAATTTCCTCAATGGCATTACAATGTCTAACCAGGGTTAGATCTGCCAAACCCTCTGTCTTATCTGTGCCAAACCCTCTGTCTTATCTGTCCTTATCTCTCTTGCTTTCTCTCTCTCATTCACTCTCTCTTTTGCTCGCTTTGATTAACATTGATGTGCATTATTTTTGTAAGTAAACTTGTTGAGGCCACATGAGCTATGCCAGAACATTTCTGTATTATTTTTTTTTTGGCTTGTGCGCTGACATTTTTCATTTTGCATGTTGGGCAATTTAGTTCAAGTTGCATTCATTGATTTATGATAATGACAGCATGTAGCTTCAATCATTGTCAGTAGCAATAGTTTGGGCTTCCAAAATGTCAACATATACAAACTTACACACGTACAAATAGATGCACATTCATCATGCTTGCCATAATTGCGCATTTGGAAGGTCTTGGGTGCGAGTAGTCGCATTCGCATTCACACTCACAGTATTCGTGCTATTCGCTTATATTTGTCGTACTGCTCGCACACACGCAAATGGGAAACGGAAGCTTTCAAGCAAACAGGATATGATGTGAGCAGCTTTGGGGGCAGTCACAGGATCCAGCATGAACAATATGAGTGCTCACAAGTCCGGCTTGCAGGCTGGCGAAGAGTGAAAACAAAACATTTGTTATGCAAAGGCTTTGATGCTGGCCTTGGGCGCATTGAGTGCAGGATGCAGCCAACAACTTGTCAATGACAAAATCATTTTACCACTAAACAGGCCCCACCAAAAATAAAAAGGAAAATGCTTTCCCTTGCCACACTTAACTTCAACTGACTGTTGTTAAAGTTATTCGGTTTGAGACATGGCCAAATGGGTCAACAGCGAGTAACAACAACACCAATTTTGTTGTGCACATAAAACTTCGACGGCTTAGGCCCAAGAAATGAGCGAGCACACACACACATACACACACTCATACAGAAAATAATTAAGGTCTTCCAAACTTATTGACTTTTTTTTTCTTGGCTGTCGCAAAAAGTTTGTGTGTTTTTTGTGTAGGCAGAGCAGATAATAATTAGGCGCAAAAGGAAAGGACAAAGGACAGGAAGTGGCCAGCATCAGAATGAAGAAGAGCAACAAAAAAAAGAAGGACGCTCAATAAATAAATAAGCCATACTGCAGAGATACCGAGTCCTTTAATGCCAACACATTTCGACATAAGCGAGTGCAGGCGCACTTAGCAGGCAATTGTGGGATAATTTAATTAGGTGGCGCTCGCAAGCAACATCCAGACGGGCAGGACGCCAGGCAGGCAAGCAGGACGGCAGCTAGGTAGCCACAAGGATAACAGGATAATGATAAGGAAATAAGCAAACCAAAAGGCTTAACATCCCAGGCTCCAGGCCTTAGTTGAGACTGTAGGTTGTGGGCGAATAAAAGGTGCCATAGAACACAGATAAAATGTGCGGTAAATTAAATGAAAAATGGCTAGGGCACTGGTGTTGCCCATTATAAAATGTGTAACTGACCGATAACAGCAATATCGGCAGGCTTATATAAATGGCTGCTGCCAGACTTAATTGAGTTGCCACCAAACGCCAGCAGGTAACAAAAACCAAACCCATTCAATTCACCATCTCCCTCGCTCTTTGAGTGTTTAAAATGGGAAACGGAAGCACAAAACTTGTCGCCGGATGTGGCAAGCACAGGTAACAGCTGCTGGCTGTGGGCATTAGTCAAAGGTGCACGAATTGAACATAATTAGCTCGCAAATTATTCAAGCGGCTATTAAATCGATTTAAAGGCATGATGTATACCTCAAGTTTCAGATCTTAATTAATCGCGACTGCCATTAGAGTTGAGAATTAAACAAATTGTCATTTGAAAATCGATAAAAAAAAGCCTTTTGGGGGTTGCATAACCCATTTGCTTATCAATATAAGTTTTTCAATTATGCATTCAAATTGAATGCGAGTCTTTTTTTAATCATTTGAGTGTTTTTTTTTGGTGATACCTTTTAAGATACTTATGTAGGTGGCACAGTTGCATATGTAAATCAAGAAAATATGTTTTGTATAGTTTATGGGTCATAGTCTTCTTTCCATACCTTCACTTTGTTAAAGACCTGACATGCAGCACTCGAAGGGCGACTGCTAACTTGCAGCCTGGCTGCAGCAATATTATGGTTAACCATGCATGTCAAGCACATTGCCACACTGCAAAGTTTGTTGCCCCAGCTGCAGTTGCAGTTCGCAGTTGCACTTGCAAGTTGCATTCCATGCCGTCAGATGCACATGAATGTGTGTGTGTGTATGAGAGAAAGTTCACGCATATAGTATAGCACCCCAAGCAGCGCCTTGGTGACCTGGTTTCAGTTTCTTATGCAATAATTAAGTGAGTGGCAAGCAGAGTCAAGCGTGAAGCGCAACGCGTT